AAGAACAAAGCTATTGGACGTCTGTCCTTTTCTAACTTACTATCATCATATGAAAGTTCCACTGCGAAAGTGCGCCTGACGGACGTAGTTAGGCGCATTTTGGTTAGATGGCGTATCTAAATGCGCCTACCTCTGGACGCTGAAATCAGCCCGGTGGCCGCTCTCATGTTTCTCTCTGCTGATCAGTGTAGTATCTGATCAGTGATGCTCACGGGTTTGACGCTTGACGCTCTGACGCTTCCATGTAATGACACCTTTAAGCAGGGATAGCAAAGTAAAGTAACAATATAACGCATGAAAAACGTTAGTAATATCGAAAAAATCACTTGCAGTTCGAAAAATATGATGACTTCACAAGTGAATAAAAAGGAAGAAAACGTTACGTATGTAAAGTAATTGAAATTATAATTATTGTCGGTGTGTGTTCCACAGGATATCCGATAACTGTAATTTTACTGTTTATTCCTCACCTCTGATTTTTACGAAAAAAATATTCAATCGACACGTTTTTTAAAGGTAAACAACTTTTCTATTTGGAAAAATCGTTGTTCTCTACTGCGAAGTGAGATATTAATTGACAAAGTTGATCATTATTAGGTTAGGAAAACTGTCACACTGACGACAAACAGCGATATATATATGCTCTGTGGCCACATGCACATGCTCTGTGGCAATATGCATATGCACAGTGCGCGAATTTAAAATATACATGTATATACATGGGTTATGAAGCATTATTCAAACATTTGCATTATTTAAACATTTGCAAACGAATGGGGGATCCAGGGGGCGAAGCCCCCGGTCAAGGAGGGTTCGAGGAGGGCTTCGCCCTTTGCCCCCGGGTTGACAAAAATAACATTCTAAAAAAAAAGAAAAATGTATCTCGCAGAGAGAGAGTATTAAGCATGTTGTTTTTGCGTGCGATTTATACATCCTACCTTGCCTAGGGGTCTTGCTAATCTTTTCAATATTCATTTTAGTATATAGTAGTTATACATTTAGTAAGGCGAAGATTTAGTAGAACATTCTCCTTTGCATAGGGGTCTTGCTAATTTTTTCGTTATTAATGATTTTTATTATATTGTAGACTTATTTATTTAGTAAGACAAAGATTTAATAGATATATGCGTAGAAATGTAAGCAATATATTATAAATACCCAGATAGCAGAGAGAATTAAAAAAGAATTCAGTGGTATGTTACCAATTCTGAGTTCATTTTTGGGTGCGAGAAAAATTATTTTCACTAAACTCTGAAGAATTCTTTTTGCATCTGAAAATGAACTTAGAATTGGTCACATACGACTGAATTCTTTTTGAATATTTTTAGAATTCTCTGTGCTATAAGGATATATACATATCTCACACTTGTGTACTTTTGCATGTTGTCACACAGAATATATCTATTAAATCTTCGCTTTAACAAATAAGTCTACAATACAGTAAAAATCATAAATATCGAAAAGATTAGCAACCCATATAGCACAGAATTAAAAAAAATTCAGTCGTATGTCACCAATGCTGAATTTACTTTTAGATGCAAAAAGAATTCTTTTCACTGAACTGAACTCTGAACTTTTTTTTTGCATCTAAAAATAAACTCTGAATTGGTGACATATGACTGAATTTTTTATGAATTTTTTAAAAATTCTCTGTGCTATTTGGGAAGACCCCTACACAAACGAAAATGTTCTACTAAATCTTTGCTTTACTAAATGTATGAGTCGACTATATACTAAAATAAATACTGAAAAGATTAGCAAGACCCCTAGGCAAGATAGGACGTATAAATCACACGCAAAAACAACACATAATGTTGTTAACGTTAACAATTAACGCTCTCTCTATGCAAGATACTTTTTTTTTAGAATGTTATTTTTGTCAAACCGGGGGCAAAGCTCCCCTCGAACCACCTTGATCGGAGCTTTGCCCCCTGGACCCCCAATTCGTTTGCAAATGTTTAAATAATGCTCCGTTACGCATGTATATATAAGTATATTTTAAATTCGCGCACTGTTTGCAAATGCATATTACCACAGAGCATGTATGTGTGGCCACGGAGCGTATATACATGTCACTGTTTGTCGTCGGTGTGACAGTTTTCTCAATCTTAATAGTGATCAACTTTGTCAATTAATATCTCACTTTACAGTAGAGAGTAACGATTTTTCTAAATAGAAAAATTGTTTGCTTTTAAAAAACGCATATTCGTTGTTTGCCTTTAAAAAACGCGTCCATTGAATTTTTTCGTAAAAATCGAAAGTGAGGAGTGTAAACTGTATAATTATCCCGATAACTAAAATATTGAGTAATAATAACAATAACATGAAATAACAATATTTTTTATGAATAGATGATAGTATGTGTGCGTGTGTGTGTGTGTGTGTGTGTGTGGTATGTGTGTGTAGGATTGGGAAAGTTACTTTTTAAAAGTAATTAGTTACAGTTACAAATTACTGGCTATGAAAAGTAATTCATTACAGTTACAGGTACTCAAAAAGTAACGAGCCGTTACTTTTAAGTTACTTTCTTTAAATAATTATGAATTATTATTGTAAATTATTGTAATTTTAACAAAAATTTTAAATTTTAAGCTTTATTAAAATATAAGAATTTAATTTTATAATTAATATTTATCATTACTGTGAAGTGAAATATTAGTATATCCACTTAACAAATTTCCAAGATCTGTATTTAATATAATAAAAAATTAATAATCGTGAAGAGTTAAAAGAATATACATATATAGTATGAGGAAAAAGTATGGAAACCCAGAAAAATCTCAAAAAATATAAGTTTTACAGAAAAAATGTTTCAAATAAAA